CTTTCTGTATCTCACCTGCCACTCACTATCGGGCAATACATAGTGGCTAAGGCCAAGCGTGACGCAGCTTCAGCACGTTCTCACTATCAGCCATCATCTACATCATCACGCGCACAGTCTGACCTGGAGCGCAGAGTTGAGAGACAAGGGCGACGTTTTTAGCGCGTCGTCACCTTCCTGCAGGAGCAGCACCAATTCGATACAGACACATCAGAGGAGGATTGATCGATCAGCACTTCACTTCATCATCAGCCCCACGGTTCTATCATCATTTTCTTTTCTTTTATTTTTAGATTATATTGCTTTTATTTACCATCTCCTCACCAATTTTTTCATACTAGGGACAGTGTGATTTAAGTTTGGGGGAGGATGTCTATCCATACTAATCATTTTCTTACTTTGTTTTCAAGTATTTTTTAAATTTTTAGTATGTAACCTATACGACTTTTAGTATTTTTCAGGAATGTTTGACACAAAACTATGATGATTTAGACCTGCATGCTTCTACACTACGCATGATAGCTCATTTTTGGTTAGCAATAGACTAGGCGGTAGCTAAAGTACTTGCACTACGAACTCCCACCAGAGGACTTCTATTCATGGAGATTCTTCCTAACAGGTTATACTAGCTCGTTTTATTTGACCTTAATATTGATATTTAAATTTCTCATCATGGATTATAGGCATGCATTAAGATATACATCTAGGACATTTTTATCCTCATTTTTACCACTCTTTGTTGTCCTAGGTAGCTAGTTCATCTTTAGTTGGTACCATACCCTAAACCCGAACCTTTATTCTCGAACCTCATGCATTCTCTCTTTAGTTTGTATTAGCAGATATGTGCAAAAATATCAGAGAAAAGAGGAACGACGCAATTTTCAGTCACTCAAGAGAAAGACTGAATGGAATTAGCAAGGAAGAGTATCAGAAACCTTATCAAGCTTCATATCGCCTCAGAGAACTCATTCTTATTGGTTATTTTTTCTCCTCTATGACTTTATATCTAAAGGTGTTTCCCCTTTCACAAAAAAAATGAAAGGAAAAGAAACAAAAGTCTGATGAGTCTTAGATTTTCAAAATTATTTGGAGTGAAGGCAACCATTATTCATCTATGGAGCTATGATTTTGTAAGTTAAACAGAAATCTAAGTCTGGGGGAGTTAGGAGAGAACCTGAGGAAGAAGATCAGAGATTTATGGAAAGAAGAAAGTGACTGAAAACTGTGGATATCAACAAGTTCACTATCTCTTGCGGTTTTGCATTATATTTTGCACCCTCCAGATCTTCAGGTAACCCAGAAATACTTTAAACCTCACCCCTAGAAGAAAACCTTTTGATACCTAGCTTAGATCGCCTTGCCTATACTTCCTTTGATGAGAACCATCAAATTTTTTATTGAATGTTACGAGCTAGTTGACTGGAAGTTAAATCTAAGTGCATAGATTTCCGCATGATGGATTAACGGACTAATTATGCCCATATTTTTAGTGAGAATTTTCGAGGCTATCTCTGATTGATGCATAATTATTGATATTAGTCTAGAAGTTTGGTCTCTGAGATTTTGTTAGTTCCTGCGTTTTTAAACCTCTCGCCGAGATTTCGTCTTTGTTTTGTTTGAGGACAAACAAAAGTCTAAGTCTAGGAGAGTTGATAACACCGGAGTTTGACCATTTTTATGGATCACTTTAATATCTTTTGCAGGTGTTTTTACTCCATTTTCAAAGGTTTTCAAATGATTGTTTTTGGATTTTAAAAGACTTTTCAGGTAAGAAAAAGGTGCAAATTAGAACAAAAAGACTCTTTTGGATAAATTCAGACCGTCAGAATTCTCATGGAGAGACGGAGACCTTTTCACCGTCTGATCAACCCCAAAATTGGACACTTAACAGAAGACTCAACCAGCTTTCAAATGCAATTGGTTTGGAAACATTCCCAACGGTTGGATCTCAAGATATTCCATTTGCCCTGGAGACATTTTAAGACGGCCGGAAAGCCACACGACCGCGGCCAACAGCCCATTCACCGCAGCCAGAGCCAGGCAACCACGGCCAAGCCCTCATTCCCCATGGTCACGCTTCACGCGACCGCGACCAGACATCTCCGACTTAAGAAGCCCATTTCTGAAGCCCAAGTCATTTTCTAGCCTCAATTTCGGAACCCTAGAGACCTTGGAGTATTGAAGACTATAAATACTGGTCATTTATGTCGTTTTTAGATATCACCTTTCATACTTTTACAGAAACCCGTTTTCCAGCCATTTTATGCAGATTTTTAGAGAATACACTTCAACTCTGAGTTCATCAATAGAGAAGCTTTCTTTCATCTCTTTCCTTTACTGTTTTTTATTGCTTTCATAAAAACCAATGATGATGTCGTCCTCAGCCATGGCTGAGTAGATCCCGAGTTGGGCATAGGGTTCCCGAAAGGGGCTCTTGGGATTTAAAATGTGTTCTCTGTTTATTCTTATTCTTAATGCATGTATACTTGATTGATCACCTCGTATCTGATTTAGATAGTTATTATTGTGAAAGTTTTCATTCAGTGTCACACCTAGAATGAAATAGACGATTTTTTCGTAGGAGTGGAAACCTACCTACGGCGAAGTCGTGAGTACTGACAAGTTCTGTGCAGCTCCTGCGTCTTCTCCCTTCCAGGGCCAGAGTGGAAACCTACTGGTCAGGGTTGCGAGAGACAGTTGGTTATGTTTACGACGGTGATGTAGTCATACCGCCGTACTCTAGCTCTAGAACCCTAATATTTCGATATCCGTCAATCCCAATCTAAAATCCCTAGTGTTGAAACCGATTATGATCCCTATAGAGTTCCCGAAAGTCCAGCGTTTTTAATCATTGTTCACAAACCAATTGATATTTACTTGCTTTCTTAGATCTGCATTTTTACTTGCTTTAGTTCGATTTTCTGCTTGTTTCATTTTGCTTTCATCCAATTTTCTATTTGGTTTTTAGTATAGATTCATTTGCTTTCTTTAGTTTTAGTTTAATTCATGACAAACACCAATCCCTTAAAATCGATATAGTCTAGACATAAACTTAGAAACAGTAGAAAAATATTAGGCATACAAAAACCTTGTGGATCTGATCCCTAAGTAGTACAGCTGATTAGCTATGCACTTGCGGTTTTCATTTGTTTTTATTAAGGGTAAAACTTGTTTCCTCAACTTATAGCACATCGCTCGATAAGACCAAGATGGTGAATAAAGAAGAATAACAAGAAGAAAAAAGATGAGGAATAAGAAAATCAAAAGAGGTATAAGATGAAAAGAAGAAGTCAAAGTCGAAGATGATGAGAAACAAGAAGTAAAAGATCTGGAAGAGAAGAAGATGTGGAAAATAAACAGGAAAAATAAAAAGTAAGAGAAAACATAAATATAGAAGAAGAAAATGAAGAACATGGTGTGAAAGAATAAAAGGTGATAAAGGTGGAAGAAATGAAGAGTAAAAAAGAAACGATAAAGAAAAAAACAAAAACATAAAAAAAAAAGAAGTAAAAAATTCATTTAGTTGGTTTTTGAATTTTATACACTTATATTTAGTATTGTTTTTCGGGTGATTAATTATAGATGCTTTTATTTATTTATGTTTATTTTATTTGATATTATATGTCTCAAATGGTTGTTGTAATTCTGTTCGAAAAAATTTTGTGTCAAGTTTTTGAAACATTTTCGTCTGTGACTTACGCGGACTAAACACCTTGTTTATATCAGAATTTATTCATCTAAAAAAGATTAAAACACTAAGTAAAGAAAAAATTATGTTAGCGAAAAAAAACGGCACCTATGCGGGGATGCTCACCTAGTCTTCAAAAAATTATAAGTGGGACTTTTTAAAATCTTTTTGTTTCGTATTCCAACTAATACTGTCCTACGTGAATAAAAGTTCCTCACCTGTTCCCCTCTTCAACGATGTTTGTCCATCTCTAATAAAAATGAACAGAGAATCAATAAAAACGATCGTCCAGAGTCTAAAACAATATATAACGACTTTCTATAACAAGAATATAAAAAGACCTTAGCTACTTGACCAATAATAGTTACAAATATGATAGGCAAAAGAGATAAAAAAAAAAAAATAGAAACATATATCAAATATCAACCAACCAGCAATTATAAAAAGAGAAAACAAAAACCAGATGGGATCTGAAGGCTACTTGAAAGTGCATTTTATATAAAATTTTAGACACGGTTTCCCTTCACTAATGAAAATAATTTAAAAATATAAAAAGATTGTATAGAGATTCGAAATCGATGATGATATATGGAGTATATATATTAAAAGACAAGGCCTAGCTTTATTCTCAAGTTTCAACTTATAAACTTCAGAAACAAGATCGGGAAGAGACGGACCGTCTCCTATGTAATGAAAAGAATAGAAATAATGAATGACTTTTTGATATAGCAGTGCAAGAATATAAAAAGACTTTATCTACTTGACCAATAATAGTTACAAATATGATAGGCAAAAAAAAAGACAAAAAAAAATAGAAACATATATCAAATATCAACCAACCAGCAATTATAAAAAGAGAAAACAAAAACCAGATGGGATCTGAAGGCATTTTTATATAAATTTTTATTTATTTGTTAAATTTTTAATTTTTAATAAAATGAGAAAACAAAAACGAAAGTGCACTTTTATATAAATTTTTAGACAGGGTCTCCCTTCCTTAATGAAAATAATTTATAAATATAAAAAGATTGTATATATATATATATATATATAAATATTAAAAAACAAGGCCTAGCTGTATTCTCCAGTTTAAACTTATAAAAACTTCTGAAACAAGATCCGGAAGACACGGACAGTCTCCTCTGTAATGAAAAGAATAGAAATAATGAATGACTTTTGATATAACAAAGAAGAATATAAAGAGATCAGCAAAAGCTTAGCTGCATTCTTAAGTTTTATAAAATTAAATGAGTGGCTATATATGTATATGCAAGGGGGAGGAGGAGACACAAACCCAAATCCCATTGTAGCAACAATGAGTTCCGTGGGTGTATTTCGTAAGGTAGAAAAGGACGGAAAACCTTTTTTCGTATACACATTGACACAAACAAACAACCCAACCTCCTCGAGTGAAGCAGCCATAGATTCTGGCGGCAACACCCTTCCTCTTCAACCTCTTTTTTTTTGTCCTCGTGCACGTATCAAATTTCTAAAGCCCAGACTAAAGATTGATGATGATGATGATGATGGTGATGGTGATGGTGATGGTGATGGTTATCTTCCATTAAATTCTTCTCCTCACTTCCCCAACAAAAGAATCGTTTATCAGCAAGACGAATCTCTTCTTGATTGCAACCGTCAACAAATCTGTAAGCTCCCTGTAGTCCCTATCCTTTGGTGCAACAATGAAGAACCTGATTGTGAACAATTTGAGTGTGGTGCATGCCAATCTTCAAGATTCAGCACAAGCTATTATGCATATCTCAAATGTGAAAAAGTTTTCCACAAAGAATGTGTAGAGTCCCCACTTAAGATCAGACACCCTTCCCACCCTTTTCATTCTCTTCAACTTTACAGTCATTATCCTTTCTTTGTGGACTGCATTTGTTGTGACGAGACTGGCACTCCCGCCGACGGGATTGCCATGAGTTATCATTGTGTTACCTGTGATTGGATCATGCACCCAATATGTTCGATGAAACCGGTACCCATTGTTATAGACCACCCAAAAAGCCATCCCCACCCACTCAACTTTTTCCCTAGACAAGCTTCTTTGGCTTGCAACATTTGTGGCCTGATAAAAAAATTTCATCCCACATACATTTGTGTCCAATGTGTCTTCGTAGCCCATAGAGATTGCATTGGTTTCCCTCATGTCATAAGAATATCCCGACACCATCACCGTATCTCTTTTATCTCCTCTCTTCCATCTGGAATATGGTCTTGTAGAGTCTGTCGCCAAAAAGTTGACAACAACTATGGTGCATACTCTTGCAACAAATGTGATGCTTATTTTGTTCATTCAGGATGTGCGTTACATAAAAAGGTATGGGATGGAAAAGATCTTAATGGAGTATCAGAAGAAGATGATATAATAGACGATGGTGAGCCGTTCAAGAGAATAGATGATGGAATAATACTCCATCCCTCTCACAGCCACCATATGCGGCTTGAGATCAGCAGAGTTTATGACGAAAATAACTCTTGTCGAGGGTGTACCTTTCCAATCTACGAAGGTAAATTCTACTCATGTATGGAGTGCAACTTCATCCTCCATGAAATCTGTGCACATGCTCCCCGCATGAAACGGCATCCCTTCTTTCCTCATCCACTTAGACTAAATTTTGGCACCAAGGGATACGGTTCTGGAGAGCTTGTAGGTTTAGCCTACTGTAGAGCTTGTAGCTTTCCTGGTAATGGTTTCGCCTATGAGAGCGCTGATCACAGTAGTGGATTCACTTTAGATTTAACGTGTGCCTCAATTACTGAACCATTTGAATATCCAGGTCACCAACATCCCTTATTCATAGCTTGGTACCCTGACCCCAAACCTGTTCGATGTCAACTCTGCAAACACAAAAGCTATTATCCAAAGTTAGATTGCATGGAATGTGAGTATATTATATGTACCAAGTGCGCTACTTTACCATACAAAGTAAGGTATAAGCATGATAGTCATTTTCTCACAATTTGTGATGGAAAAGAGGCAACTGATCAACCAGACTGGTGTGAGATTTGCGAAAGCAAAATAGAAGTACAAGAAGAAGAAGACGAGTTACGAGAGGTTAGCCTAATAGAAAGTCAGCGTTTTTATGAATGCAGTGACTGCTGCACAACTCTTCACGTCAGATGTTTACTTGGGAAAAACATTTATCTGACACCTGATAAAACTCTCCGTTTCAAAAGGGCGAAGTATCAGATTATTCTCAACAGTTTTCCCTCACGGCCATTTTGCAGTGGATGTCAGCGCCGTTGTCCATTGCGAATGGTTTTCAAAGGGTTCGACACAACATTTTGTTCTTTGGAATGTATCCCAAATAGAGTGTGGTGGTAGTGAGCAACCAAAAACAAAAAGTTATCATTTGTTTCTTTTTCGTTCATCTGAAGTATTTTAATATATGGGCTCTGTTATTTTTCTTAATTTTCATTGTCAGTTGTACTTTGCTTTTTCATTTCTTTGAACTACCCAGAATCCATCATTGTTTTTTTTTTTGTAATAATTGTAAAAAAAAAATTTTTTTTTTAAAACAGTGTTACATTAAATGCTCCTGTTTTTGAGTGTTAAAAATGTTTAAAACGTAAGAGAAGACAAATTCTTGATCCTTCAAATTGTGCTCCTTGCCTTGAACAAACGCATCAGTCTGCTGTCGAAGCCTATCTATTGGGGCCGTCTTGTTGTATTTATCTTTATTGTATTTGTTCCACATCGAAAATATGTTAAGTATTAGATTAATTATATTGTGTATATAAAGCATAGCTTTATTGATATTGACATGAAATATAAAGAACCTTTTAAAACTTCTAAAGTATTTTTGTCATGCTATCAGAGTTTTAAAACCTAAACTACTACAATTTATTGTTTCTCGATTTAATGGATTTTAAGTTTCCGCTGCGAGATTCCGTTATTAGTTATATTTTCTTTTGGTGTTTGACCTAAATATTTTTGTTATCACTCTGAAACAATTGTTTCTTTACAATTTGGTGATAACAACTCGACGATTATTCTGACGGTTACTGAAACTCGTCATACCATATCGCCATAAAACTTCACTTATGGAGATAATTCTGGTACTCTGATCTCCAAACCCTTGTTGCGTGGTCCAAACTACGATCAATGGGCCACAAGTCTTCGTGTAGCACTGAAGGCAAGGAAAAAGTTTGGTTTTGCGGATGGTACCATACCACAGCCAGAGGAGACATCTCCTAAACACGAAGAAGATACTTCAACATGGGAGACGTAGTCCCAGTTACTCAGAAGGAATTGACTCCAACCTCGATCCAATGTCCCATGTTAACATCAACGAACTACACGATATGCGCCATGAGGATGAGGGCATTGCTGCGAATCAATAATGTGTGGGAGGCGATTGAACCAGGTTCAACCGACCCCAACAAGAACGATATCGCGACAGGGTTATTGTTTCAAGCCATTCTGGAGATTCCCATCTTGCAAGTCGGCGAGCAGGAAACTCGAAAAGGAATTTGGGACGCGATCAAAGCGCGCAACTTAGGAGCAGATCGTGTCAAGGAAGCTCGTCTACAAACCCTAATGTCTGATTTTGAAAGATTAAAGATGAAGAAATTGGACACCATAGATAACTTTGCGGGAAAATTATCAAAGCTAGCTTCTAAAGAAGCTTCTCTTGAACAAAATATTGAAGAGACGATCATTTGACATAACGCCTCGCCAAATTCGTTCCTTAACAGCTCGGCACCGCTTAACAGAACGCCTCCTCACGGCTCGGTATTATCAAGCAAACGCCTCACTATTACCCTTCACGGCACGCCTCGGTGAAAGCAGTGCGTAAAAAATCTCCGAGGAGCCTCGACTCTCCCTTATGTCTTGGTACGATGGTTGATTATATGACCAGAAATGACGAACCTCATCACTCTCGTCTCCGAACCTCGGTTTCACCCCAAGTATCTAATCCATCTTTAAAATGACTAAGTACCTAGAAAAGCCGAGCTGCAGCACAGGACACTCGAATGGGCCAAATCCATAAAGGAGAGGAGCAATTGGGCCGAGCCCTGTGAAGGAGTAATTGGGCCGAGCTGTACATAAGGATATATGGGTCAAGCCGTATCACGAAACATGGGCCGAGCCACACCTCAGCGGGATTCTGCCGAGCCGCACCTCAGCGGGATTGGGCCGAGTCGCACCTTGACGAATTGGGCCGAGCTGCGTCTTAATAAACTAGGCCACGGCGTGACGTTTTGATGAGCATATTTCAACAACAAGTGGGCCTAACCGCGAAGATGTAAGGCCCATAAAAACCCTAGGCGAAGCGTTATGGCGGCGGCCGTATGAGGCGATAAGGAAATATTCTGAAAACTTTTCCCGAGATTTTGGCTAGGCGGTTTATAGGATTCGTATAAATAGCTAATGGATGCCATTCATGATGTAACTTTGGACAACTCGAGAGAAATAAAACTTACGCGATTTCACAGCAATAAAAATCTTCTTTTGATCTTATTGTTCTTACGATAAATCCCAGAAATTTTGGATCCCTTAAGTTTTCCTTAACAAATTTTTGGTTATGCAAGTTTTGGCTCATATAAGCTTCATCTTCTGCTCGCAAAACATCTCTTAAATGTCAGAAAACTGCTTGAACCTCTTTGGCTCCCCCTATTCATATTCGGCTCCTCTTTATAATTCCTATAATTGATTTAATAATAGGCTGCTTCAATTTTTCAATTCTTTTCCAATTCCTTTTAAAGGCCGCAAAATGACCTGAGCTCTTCCTTTATTTCGACTGAAGAGAAAGTCTGATTTATCTTTCCCTCCTCCTTTATATTCCCAAAAAGATAGTTTGATTCATCTTTGGCTTCTCGTTGGTGTGGCGAAGCTTTGAAAAAAACTCATTTGCATGGCTTGTGTATTCACCTCAAGGGTGCACATCACAACAACTTGTTCTGAGCAGGCTTACCTTAAGAAGATAAGTTTATTGGATTAGTCTTCAACAATAAAAAAAAAAAATCAGATTTTTTAGGATGATAACTTATCAGCAATTAACACTAATGTTGATAAGCTTATAAACTGAATTAGTAAAAAGAAGCAAAATCATACTATCAGAAATAAACAAAATAAAATTATCAAAATTTTTCAGAATCATCATATCAAAATTTTGCAAGGATATAACTTATCAGCAATGAACAATATCAACATCACTGAATCAATGTTTAGCAATAAAAAAATAAAATTTAGCATAATAAGCTTAGAAAGATCATACAGGAAGATAACTTATCAACAATGAACACTATCATGATTGACTTCATTGGTCGATTCTTGATCAAGTGGAGACTCTATATACATAGGCAACAATGAACACTACACTGATCATTTGCATCAAGATTATCTCCTTAAATTCTTCATCATGTGTACACCATTTTATTATAATATCGCATATATAGTTTTACTAACAGGTGATTTAAAATATTTTGCCCCACCAATTTTTTGGTTTTGGCAGTTTCTACAAAGATAATGAAACTTATCCCATGGTTTACCCCACTGTTCGCGCTAATATTTTTTTTAGGTTTGTATAAGATTTTTCACTGTTTGCGCTAATTATGATATCATTTTGGATATTTCAGGATTTTTCTAAAACCATCAATTTGTGTTTTCTTTGATATTTAAATTTTTACACAATATAGAAAGTGATGTTACTCGGGACAAAAGACGATGACTTGAAAAATCAACCGGGTGTTTTTTCTTATTGTCCAATCCTATCTTCTTCCTCGGTATCCTCTTCACATCGACCACATGTTTCTTCATCCATCGACTTATTGAAATTTCTTGTAGTATAAGTTAAACCAAAATGTGTGGAAACTGACTAGTCAACACAAAAGACTTTTCTCTCTCTTCTTTCAACGTGAATAACACTTCGTACGAAGGACTAAATGGTGAGCCAAGCGAAGCTGAGTGGATATGGAGCACACTGACTATATGTATTTAAAGAGATGGCATGAAACCAATTTAACCATCACAATTTCCATCTCTCGCTTCTTTTTCACTATTGATATTCAAGAAAATTAAACCAAACGGCTCTTGAAACTCAATGAGTATCATTCATATTTCTCTTTGTTTTCTCCTCTTGTTCGTTTTTAGTTTTCATGACGTGTTTGCTGCTCCTACTAGACACTTGTGTCGTCCGGAGCAGAGGGATGCACTTCTCGAGTTCAAGAATGAGTTTGAGATTCGGAGGGATGCACATTCCAAATGTTATATGAATAATGGTAGCGATGTGAGCCCTTACCCGAAGACGGAGTCATGGGCAAATAACACTGATTGTTGTTATTGGGATGGGATCAAGTGCGATGCCAAATCTGGGGAAGTGATCGAGCTAGACCTCAGTTGCAGCTCTCTCTACGGCAAGTTTCGTTCCAGTTCCAGTCTGTTTAGGCTTCAAAATTTTCGTTTTCTCACCACTTTAGACCTTTCATATAATGATTTATATGGTCAAATTCCGTCATCAATTGGAAATCTTCCACAACTCACTTCTCTTGATCTTTCTAATAATCTACTTTCGGGTCAGATTCCATCTTTGATTGGAAATCTTTTACATCTCACCTCTCTCAATCTTTCTTATAATCAGTTTTTGGGTCAGATTCCGTCTTCCATTGGAAACCTTTCACATCTCACTTCTCTCCATCTTTCTGATAACCAGTTGGGTCAAATTCCATCTTCAATTAAAAAGCTATCTCATCTCGAAATTCTTGACCTCAGTAGTAATAAACTCACTGGTGAAGTCCCAAATTCTTTTGCCGGTTTGAAAAATTTGACCACCTTACGTGTTGGTTCGAATAACCTTAGTGGTAACTTTCCTATTGCAGTACTACTAAATTTGACAAATTTGTCTTCTTTATCAATCGAATCCAATAAGTTTATAGGAATGCTTCCTCCAAACATTAGCTCACTCTCTAGCTTGGCACATTTTTACGCAAGTGACAACGATTTCGTTGGAACCATTCCTTCTTCTCTTTTCACCATTCCTTCTTTGAAATATATTGATTTGTCAAGTAACCAACTCAACGGCACTCTTGAGTTTGGGAATATATCTTCACTATCTAAGCTAGAATGGTTAAAACTTGGTCGCAACAACTTGACAGGGCCAATCCCAAGATCCATTTCCAAATTAGTCAACCTCAGCGCACTTTACCTTTCCCATTGGAACACCCAAGGCCCAGTTGACTTTAGTATCTTCTCACATCTCAAGTCACTCGACACTCTTGACTTATCCCATTTGAACACCACCACTACGATTGACTTGAATGCCATCTTATCATGTTTCAAGTCGATTGGATCATTGGATCTCTCAGGCAACCATGTTTTAGCCGAAAACAAAAGCTCAGTTTCATATCCTCCTTCGCAAAAGTTAGGTTATTTGACCTTGTCAGACTGCGGTATTACCGAATTTCCAGAGATAATAAGAACCCTACAGTTTATGAGGAGTCTAGACATTGCCAACAACAAAATCAAAGGTCAAGTGCCTGGCTGGTTATGGACTCTACCACATCTGATGTTCGTGCATCTTTCCAACAACACTTTCACCAGCTTCGAAAGACCAGTGAAACATGGACTATCCCCTGTCTTGTCGTACTTGTTTGGCTCCAAAAACAATTTCACAGGAAAGATTCCTTCCTTCATATGCGCGTTGCGTTCTCTAAGCATTCTCGAATTATCTGACAACAACTTCAATGGTTCAATCCCTCTTTGTATGGGAAATCTCAAGACTACTCTTTCAGATCTAGACCTTCGTCAGAATCATCTTAGTGGAGACCTTCCCGAAAATGTATTTGAACGTCTAAGGTGGTTTGACGTCGCTCATAACAACCTGGTGGGAAAGCTTCCAAGATCTTTGATCAATTCCTCTACTCTTGAAGTTCTAAGTGTGGAAAGCAACAAAATCAACGACACGTTTCCGTTCTGGTTGAGTCATCTAAAAGAGCTGAAAATTCTTGTCTTACGGTCCAATGCATTCCATGGACCATTACCTCAAGCCTCGTTCCTTCAGTTGAAAATCATCGACATATCACATAATCACTTCAACGGAGTTTTACCATCAGATTATTTTGTGAACTGGAGTAAAATGTCATTACTTAGGATAAACGAAGATCAGTCAAATGTAAATTACATGGAAGATAAGTCAGGCTATTACGAAGATTCAATTGTTTTGATGAGTAAAGGAATAGAGATGAAGCTGGTACGTATCCTGGAAATCTTCACAGCAATCGACTTTTCCGGAAACAGATTTGATGGAGAGATTCCAAGCTCCATCGGCCTATTAAAAGAGCTTAATGTACTCAACTTGTCAAACAATGCTTTCACTGGCCACATTCCATCATCTATGGGTAACATGACTGCTCTCGAGTCACTCGACGTCTCACGAAACAAGCTTTCAGGAGAGATCCCACAAGAGTTAGGGAATCTCTCGTACCTTGCGTACATGAACTTCTCCCATAACCAGTTTATCGGTCTTGTACCTGGAGGCACTCAGTTTCGAAGGCAGCCTTGCTCTTCTTTCGAAGACAACTCGGAACTTTTTGGCCCTGCTCTTGACGAAGATTGCAAAGATATTCACAGGTCCTCATCACAACAGTATGAAACACCAGAGGAGGCAGAGGAAGAAGAAGAAGAAGTGTTTAGTTGGATTGCAGCTGCAATAGGATTTGGTCCTGGCATTGTATTTGGACTGAGGATTGGATTCATACTGGTTTTATACAAACCAAAGTGGTTCACGAGTCCTTTTGGCCGAAACAAACACAGAAGCAGAAGCACCACAACTCATTAAGAGAGGTAATGTAATTAATTTGATAGCATAAAGAGTTTATATTATAATGAATTTTTCTGGTTGAATGAATACATGAAATTAACGTTTTAAGCTATTTTCGTTTGTACAGCCTTCTTAAACCCAAGATAAAAAAATATTTGAAAACGAGAATGAAGCAACCAGACGAAAGGACTGTGGAGAAAGAAGCTTGGGGAAAACGCAACCCATTTATAAGATATTTTTCCGGTTTACTTTGGTGTGTTTCTTTTTTTACTCTGTTTTTAGCCAATGTTTGTGTTTCTCTGTAATTAAACAATGAACAACTCTGTTTTCAAAGCTCAAACCTATTCCCATGATTTGAGAGAGAGGTAGTAATGTTCTTTCCCTGACTGTGTCCGAGTAATTAAATCAATCCCTCTTCTACCAAATGAAGAATAAAGATTTTAAAATTTTAACACACATCTCAGACAATTTTTTTTTCTGGTAAATATTAATTTAACTGATAAAATGATAGCATTAATAGTTTATCGAAAGATAGTTTACATAGCAGATAGGTATATTGATCAGTTTTAAGTTCCAATTGACTATTTTTCTGATAAGTTCAGCACTGCCAGCTTTGACATCGCAATGACAAAAATCATTCCGCTTCCCAACTATTGTCAAATGATACTCAAATCTGAGGTTTTGGTTCTGTTTTTAGCGGTCCTTGTTACAGTGTGTTCACTCCTTATTTACAGAGTTTAAAGTTTCCATTGTGAATTAGTACACCCTATTGCCAGCTTTAACCATCTCTTTTGGTTTCATTAAAAACAAAAAAACAAAGGCATCATCTTTTTTAATTTAATAAACTTATGTTACTATTACTCTCTACTGATTCGAGATTCCATACTAGTACACCCTATTGATATCTCCAGGATTATCTTGGTTTCTTCTAAAACAAAGAGATCAGGAAATTGAAATCCAAGGTCTCCATTGCCAGATTTGACAATCATTAGCGTCAATGGAGATTTGCTAGTAACCTCAGTGCTCAATCTTTTGTTGATTGTTGTTGTGGCATGTTAGGATCTTGCATGTGTTGGCGAAAATGTTGGTGAGTGTAAACCCGATAGTTACACACAATCTGGCAGGTACAAAAAGCTTTAGCGAGGAAAGGTATGATCTGTTACTCGTATATATAGTATGTGGAGAGGATCTAACGTTACCTGAGGATTACCAGCGTTGTATGATCGATTAGCAACTTTCTACCAAAAGAAGTTATGGAGATCAAAGATGCAGATCATATGGCAATGTTCTCCAAGCCTCAAGAACTCTGTGCTCTTCTCTTGGAAATTGCAGATGCTAAAAATAAACCTGAGATCTTCCACTACAATAATAAGCCAGATATGAGTGATTTGGGTGAATAAGAATATAAGAAGAGGATAACAACATTCCTTTGTAGAAATATTAAAGATGCAGATCATATATATGCCCATAAACCTGCGTATAAATAAGCAAATTAAGATGGTAGTGATCTGCTTTATATGTATATAAGCAGCTGAAAACACATATGAGTCATATTGAAGTCTATATGATCACTGAAACCAATTTGAGAGCATTTTCTATATGCAAAAAGTCTGAACATTGGATAGAAAAGAGACACAAAGCCTCTCTCATTTCCATAACTCCCTCTGCCATACCCAGAGGAGAGAACATACAATCACAAGCCTGTTGTTGTTAATTTTTCGACAGTCGTTATTTCTTAATCAAACTAATATTAAAAAGATTTGGTGGTACTAAGTAACCAAGCAGCACCAATCACACTAATAACCATTATCTTTAGTTTGTTTTCACGTACTGGATATTGATGATGTTTGGATGCTTAGTACCACCAAATGTTTTGATGTACCAACTTTTTGTAAAGCATGATCGTACGAATTAAATTTTTACTTTTCCAAAAATTGTTTGATGTATCAACTTATAATTTGTAGAAATGCTGGTGCTACTATTCCAAAGATACACTCTGATTCTGGTGTTACTGCTTTTCAATGACCAGTTCACAATTTTTGAATTGTCCTTCTTCTTACTCTTTGTTTTGAGTAATAATATAAGAACACCCGAGTATTACCAGCGGTGGATGATCAGCAATTTTACTGTAAAAAAAGTAATCGAGATCAAAGTTACAAGCTCTTGTACAAGAATGGAATTGTGTGGTATCTGGCTATGGCACTATTTGTCCCAAACCAGCTCTTATCAAATTATCATACAGAGACATGCATAAGATAACATCATTGAAACAAATTAGGGGGAGCATTTTCTATGTGCAAAAAAAACCTGAAAAGTTGTGTAGAGAAGCAATTAACTGCACTGATATAACTTGTCTATACAATTTTACTAACGAGAACATAATTAAATCAAGATCCAACTTCTTGAATCTATGGACGAAACAACTATTCACATCCTTAAAAGAAAAAGAAAAATCAAAAGCCTAAACCTTTTTGAGAATCTGAAGTAAGCGATTTTCGTAGGATCACTGACTTTTTTTAGCGATTTTCTTAGGATCACTGACCTTTTTTTCATCCTCGATTTGGCAATATATTCAAGGATGACAACAAGAGACGAAACGAGGAGACAAGCTCGTCGAAAGCTGGAAGCCAAGAAACCTAGGAATAAACGAAGATAGTTATATCTAAAGGCAAAATCGGTTATTAAAATCTGGCGGTTCTTATACCATATTTGTGTTACTAGATTTAGACCTAGACCGGATTACTATCAGATAGCAGATTCACCGATCCGATTAACTGATTGGTTTGGTGCATTCTACGTGATGGAAGAAAAACATTGCTCCTAGTTGGCAATAACAATTTACAAAGCTACCATTATTTAAAATGTGGTGATTTTTCGTAAATAAATGGTATATTTTATCATTTGTAAATTGTAATTTATTATTCATTTTCAAAATAATTGGTGTTTTAGAAAAAAAAAATATCTGTGTTAAGTTATATGATGTTTTCAACTATCAATACAAAATTGTTAATGTTATGTATTATAAGCATTTGTATTTTTCATAAACGAACAAATTAAAATTATATTTTTATGGTCGACTTATTTTTGCGAGTTTGTTTATTAAATATACAAAATAATTGAGTGATTCAAAACATATTAAAAAGAAGAGTTATCTCTAATCAATCCATTATCTTGTACTCCTGCACAGATGTCACCGTGGCGGTTGATTTATCTCCGTTAGCAGATTGATAGAATTGACTAACAAGAATATAGTCAATGTACGTTTCAGCCAAACAAAAGGTTGTTCAGATATTCTAATTTCAAAGAGTTCATGTATGTATGGACACATCTCAATTGTTCAGGTAAGAATTAGTACCAATTCATGCAGTTGAGGCATGAATAAGCCGATTTTCATCTAATCAGTCCATTATCTTGTACTTCTTTCGTTTCATTTTATTAGTTGTTTTGGCTAAAAGTATAAAGATTAAAAAAAAATTCAAAAAGTATTATTTAATATATAAAGTAAAAATAATCCCAATTATATAAAATTTTATAGATTATTATTGGTCACACAATATCCAGTAAATATAAAAATTGCTTAAAAATATGAAAACAATTTAGATTAAGAAACAAAAAAAAAATCCTCCAAAAAAGGAAACAGAGGAAGTATGTTTTAAAAGATTATGTATGTTTTAAAAGGAAAAATTTTGGGTTCACCCCTCGGGGTGAATTCATTCTTTCACCCCCTTTCATTTAAGCCAATGAGAATCTGCTATGTAATATTATCTTTAAAAAAAAAAAAATTAAAAATTAAAAGATTAAATACTTAATCAAATATTTTGTTAAAAAAAACATATAATAAATAATGTATATAAAGATAAGAATTAAGGGTTTAGTTTTTATTTTAATTTTTTTGAAAGTTTATAGATTATATTAGAATTTAGAGATTAGAGTTTAAAATTCCGAAAATAAAACAAATAATTATATATATATATATAAATAAAATTTAATATTATGTTTGGGTTTACTATTTCCAATTTAGGTTTTAGTTTTTTATTTATTTAACAAATAATAAGTAAACATATTTTTTTTTATTAAAATAAATTCTACATAAACTTCAATATTATATTTGGGTTCACTATTTTCAAATTAAGATTTAGTTTTTCCATTAAAAAATAATTTAATATTATGTTTGGATTCGCTATTTCCAATTTAGGATTTAGTTTTTTCATTTAAATTTTGAAAATAAAACAAATAACTATGTAAGAATATATTTTTACTAAAATCTTTTTACATAAACTTTAATATTATGTTTGGGTTCACTATTTATAAATTAGGCTTTAGTTTTTTCGTATTTTAAAAAAAATATTTAAAATGTGCTATTTTGGTAAGTTACTTTAATTGATTTTATTATATGGCAGATTTTCATTGCCTAAAATGAGAGGGGGTGAATGAATGAATTCACCCCTAGGGGTGAACCCAAGAATTGTCCGTTGTAAAATATTAAAAGAAAAGATTCCTTCTCCATTTCCAAAAATAAACGAGAGATAGTCTGAAATACTCTTCAAATGAATTATTTATTCTCTCGTATCCTCTTTCATTCTCTCGTCTCCCTCGCGGGTCCCTCATCTTTTAGTGACCTAGGATATCTCCAATTTGTTCTTGTAATTTTCTAAAGAAGAAAATTAGAAATAGAAATTCGGCCAATGATAATTAAGCATTGATCAACCAATCAAGAGCGGTGAAACAAAACTCATCCAATGAGATATAAGCACAGCTAGCCAATCAGAAACGATTGTATCAAAATTTGACCAATCAGGAGTGTGTCGACAAATATTAGGCGCCAAAAATTTATCCAATCAGGAACAGGCTTTGTCGGACCATCTTGAAACCATCTTTGACTAGCTCATCCCAGCGATCGCGACAGAGAGAACGAGAGAACTCGAATCCTTCTTGACATTTTGCTCCACTCATCCGACATTGAAGCTTAATCGAGTTAATTGACCTTTTTCTCATTGGATTCTCTTCCCTCATTTTGATTTTGGAAAGTCGTTGCCCTAGCTAGCACCACTATTGGGGATTAAATTCGATTATTGAATAGGGATTTTTAGACTATGGAAATGGTTATTGGTTGCTTATCGAATGGGTATTTAGTGGATTAGAGGTTTAGATGTTAAACCACAGTAAATCAGAGTTAGATTAAAGTTTTTTCCCGAGTTGACTATAATAGACAGAGAGTAACAATTGGTATAACTTGCGTACAACTGGAAACAACTGGAAACATTTTTTATGCAGTTGAGTATGGTTATTTTTTCAGGTGATAATGATTACGAACATATTTTATTGATTATGGGGGATATTATTCAACTTCGGAGAATAAATGGATTTCAGTACCAACTTCC